GCCGCGGGTTCGCATCCCTGGGTGTTGCCCCCGCCCCTTGCTCAGCCAGTGAGCGGCCGGTCTGTATGTGGGATCCAAACCCTCGGCGGGAGCGCCACCACGCTTCCCAAGCGGCGCACTATAGCAGTGCGCCACCGGGCCGGCCCTGAATTTTCTGTCTTCTTAAGGCTGAATAATATGTATGTTACGTATGGATAAACATTTTGTTTATCCTTTCATCCATCCGTGGACACTTGGGCTGCTTCCACCTTTTGGCTATTGCACATAACACTGCTATAAACATGGATGTACAAATATCTGAGTCCCTGCTTTCAATTCTTTTGGATATATACTCAGACATAGAATTGTTCAATCATATGGTAATTGTATTTTTAGTTTTTTGACTGCCATACTCTTTTCTATAGTGGCTGCACCATTTTATTAACATATTCTTGGGCATCTACTGTCAATGGGAAAAACAGACAAAAATAAATCTCTGTTTTTATGGAGTATATATGAGGGGGTGGACAGACAGTATGTATGCCAAATAAATTAGTTTGTTAGAAGGTGATAATTGTCATAAAAAAATAATAACCATGTGAAGGATATTAGGACTATATCCCAAGCATAGCACTTCTCAAAATTTATTATAATTGGATGTTTTCTGTTTTATTGTTTTTGTTCAATCATATAGGGCAAAGATTAGTCTACTTTCTTTTGTTTCTTTTTCTTTACCCTTTACCTGGTAAAAGCTCATAGCAGATGGTGAATTAATATATCGTAACTTACTTAATAGCCATTTCTTTTATTCACTCAATGTCATTGTGACATGGGTATAATTCTCATTTCAAATAAAGAGTGTTGGAATTCTAAAATTGCAACCCTACTTCAATTGCCAAGGTAAGTGGGACAGAGGCTGGAATAGCTAGACTTTCAATACAACTCTCTTTTACTCCAAATCTGGGGTTGCTGCAAGTCTAAGTGTTTTCTAACTCAACTGTGTATCTGTCACTACATCAAGCCTATACCTTTATACTCATAGGTCATATTTGTTTTTGTTTTTGTTTTTCCTTTTTGTCTTTTTTCCTGACCGGCAACGGGATCGCAACCCTCGGTGTCGCTCCCACACTGCGCTCAACCAGTGAGCGGACCGGTCTCTATATGGGATCCGAACCCTCGGCGGGAGCGCCGCCCTCTACTGAGTGCACCACCAGGCCAGCCCCTCATAGGTCATATTTGAAGAGCAGGTTGTGAACATCACTTTGTTTCTAGACTCTTGGTGTCTCTGTTGAGTACTTGGTTCAGCCTACGTTGCTGAATCTCTGAGTTTTCCTCCAGGCTCCGACTGGTCTCTGTATCCAGCATTGATGGTCAATGACTTCAGAGAGTATAAATTATAAACAAGGGCTGTGTATAGGGCTGTGTTAGTTACCTACTACTTAGTAACAAATTTCCTCAAAACTTAGTGGTTTAAATGACATTAAATATTTATTACGTCACATTTCTGGGGAGAATGACTTAGCTGGGTGTTTTTTTTTTTTTTTTTTTTTTTTTTTTTTTTTTTTCCG